GTTTGACCTGTGCTGGGAAACTCCATGTTGTCCTCTTCCGCAGAGAACTGGTGGTTCATCTGGGATGTGATGGGCTTAAGTCAGCCTGAGAAACAGGGTGACAGGACTGCCTGCCCTGAGCATCCTTGGCAGAGCTCTGGGTGTCTCCTCGGCTGTGCCCTACTGCTTTCCTAACCAAGAGCAACATGCCCTGAGCCCCCAGGGAAAGGAGGGGGAGGACAGGACCCAGTCAGCTCACTCCCACCAGTCTCTCTACCGGAGTTGGCAGGAAAAGTGCAGGCAACCGACAAAACCAGCTGGCAGAGCCCGGGGTCTGGATGGCCACACACAGGAGGGAGCACCTGGGGAGGTGGAGCCACAGTAAGTGCCAGGAAGCAAGGCCTTGACCTCTGGTTCCTGAGGCTGGGGGCTGACTGCAAAGAGGTAGGGGCGGGCACTTCCCGAGGGGACAGAACTGTTCTGATGGTGATGGTTACATACACAAACATCTACGTACGCACGCAAACACATATATACACACATTAAACTCATTGGGTACATCGTGTTGCATGTATATTAAACTTCAATAAAGTTGATTCTAAAACATTAAAAAAATTGAGGTTTGATAGAAAAGGGAGAGATTCATAATAAACAAGCATCTCTTTCTTATCTCTTGGGTTTTATACATTCCTCCCTACCCAGTATCCTTGGGATAAGGCTCTTGACCCAAGGGGTAGGATTTTTAACCTGTTCAACTTTCAGGGAAAACACTGGGCTCTAAGACACACAGCTATTGTGGATTCTAGCATTTCTACTGAAAGTACTTCCATGTTTTCAAAGGCCAGTTCTTAACTTTAATTTCTTTTTCTTAGGGGGAGGGTAATTAGGTTTATTTTTTTAGTGGAGGTACTGGGGATTGAAACCAGGACCTTCTGAATGCTGTCATGAACTCCAACGCTGAGCTATACCTTCCTCCCCCGGCCAGTTCCTTAGATGACTTGATTTAAAAATAGGAAGACTTCTCATTTAACTAAGGGAAAATGCAGCATATTATAGTGCCTAACCTGTCCCACCACAACAGACAGGCATGGAAAAGGAGACAGGAAGGCTCTGGAAACAGAGCATGTGGCACCCAGGTGCCGTGAGAGAATGGAACAGTGTCAGAGAGGGCGAGTTCTAGATGGTGGCGCTGCAGGCAGGAGGCTGGTGTGGCCCGTGGCTGGGCCACTGTGGGGGGAGAGGCCAGGGGACTGACATTTAGCACCTGTGGGGACCCCACTTGTCCATCCAGAACCTTCAACCAAGTACCGATCTCCTATTGCCATGGGCTACCCTTCAGGGCTTAAAGGACAAGGCTTCTGAACACACATGAGAGTAGAGACCAGCGGGTGAAGCCAGAGCAGAGCCCCTAAGGCAGGCCTCTGTTCCAAGCCCCAAGGTGCCGGTGGACGGGCACTGAAGCCAGGCACATAGGCCATCTTTTGGCACATTCTCCCACAAAGACACAGACACGTCTACACTACAACAGCAGGGACACACTGTACAGGAGAATGTGAAGCTCATCTCAGTTTTTAAGTTACAACATGAAGCTGCAAAGTTCAGGCTGCAGTGAGAGTTCTCTTCAGGTTTCCTGGGTCTGTGTCCTGTCCTTGGCCTTAAGGGGTATGTAAGTGGACCAATTCTAGGAAGGACAGAAGCCAGATTCTCCAAGATCTGATGAGGGGGTGTGTCTGCTCACCTCTCCATCTGTCCTTTTTCCTTCCCCAGACCTTATCCCTGGGGGCTATCTGAGGGCCTCACCTTCCTTCTGGACTGAAGTGACCTCTCAGGTCCCTATACTGAAGGCTGCTGTTCCCTGAAGACTCCACAGTGGCTGGAAGGGGTGGTACCTCATCACCTGGGTGTCCCCTCACCAACCACATGTTCCAGGCACCTCTGAGGGCCCAGCCAAAGGGACAGAGGGGAAGCCAGCATCCACAGGAGCATCTTCCATCCCCCTCCCACTGCCAAGAGTTGGGGATTCAGAACCTGGTGGCTCAGAATGGGACTGTTCCAGTTTCTGGAGGGGTTTCCTGGCACTATCATGATGCCCATGGACCATTCCACTCCCACCCAAGTAAGAAAGCCAGAAAACAATCCTATTTCCTGGAAACCACTCCCCTTTGCAGACAGTGTCTTGATGCTCCAGGTCCACAGGGTCTCTTCTTCAAAGACTGCTTTTTGGTCCCAGACAAGCCATATTTAACTTTTAAAACCTGCCCCCGGCCTCTCAATGGCTTGAGAAGTGCTCTGGACTGCACTCCTGACCTGAGCAGACTCCCAGTGCTCAGGCACGCCGTGACCACACTGCACCTCCCGTCGCCCCTAAAACCCTCCCTTCCTTCTCTTCTTTAGCTCCTGTTGGTTCACAAGGGTCCTTTCTCCTTGCCAAGCCTAGGCCACCCTCCACCTGTGCTCTGGACCTGTGCCTTCCATGTACTCCCAGAGCCTGTAGGGATGCTGGAGTCACCGTGACCCTGGGTCAAACCCCAGTCCCGCTGTCCACTCTGTGCTTCAGCTCTCATATCTGGCGGGGAAGATAAATGAGACGGCAACTTTCAAGGGCCACCATGGTCCCTGGCCCAGCTCCACATCCCCTCCCTCCCTGGCCCAAGCACCCTCTTCTCCAACATTTTCAATTTTCTCTTTCACACAACGCCCCTCCGATGGGCTGTAAGTGCATCGTGCATGCGCTCCTGGACAAGTCTCCCGCGCCTGCCTCTTCCTTCCATGAAACGGCCTGCGGTATCGCCTCTGCTGCCCCTTTCCTGCCCCGTTGCCGCCCCACCTGCCCTTTGGCCTGGCTCTGCTCCAGCACGTGGTGACAATGCACTGACAGCTTCCCATCTCTGCAATCCAGCAGCCTCCCTCCAGGATCACCTCCCCTAACTCACTAAAGCTCACATCACCCTCAATCCCCTTCCCGGACCCTGGGCTCCCTTCACCCATGACCCAGCACAGCCCTGGTCTTTCCCGGGTGCCCCAAGCTGCTTCTCCAGCAGAGCTTCAGGGACTATGAGCACACACTCGTCCACAGCACAGAAACTAAAGACCACTGGCCCTGGCGAGTGCGAAATTCTGCAGACACCAGGCTTATCAGCTTCAAAAATCCAACAACAGAGGACTCTGAGCCAGGATGGATGATGCAGAAAAGAAGAAATAAGCCAGTGATGAGTACAGGACACTGCCTTGCACATCAGTAAGATGGGCTGAAGAGCTCAAAGTGGCATGTGAGGGAAACAGTGAGCGTTCATCACCACTCGTCTGTTCAAGTGAGCAGCTGCTCGTGAGGGAGTGAGCTGTCTCCACAGCAGCCTGGGCTCCCTCCCAAACCTCAGAGTGGGAGGAACATGAATAATTCACTGGGTGACCAGAAACAAACACCCAGCACTCCAGTTCCCAACAGTCTCCCTCTTAAAACCCACTCCATCACGCTGAGGGGAGCTCATATATTCGTCACACACAAAGACACATTCCTTCAAACACAACCTGATAACAGTGGAGGATTCCACTTGTGTAAAATTCTGAAACTGGCTAAAGGACTCACTGGTGACAGAAATCAGAAGGCGGTAAAGGGGGGCACAGACGAGACACTGAGGGGGCGAAAGGCAGCCTGCTGCCCAACAGTGACGTTCCATCTCTCCTTTAGGCATCAAGCGGGTGGATCTGCATGCTTCACATCCGAGCACTTGGCTGCATGTTAACTATCCTTCAGTTTAAAAATAAGTCAACAACAGGTGGTCGTGGAGCACTCCCAGGCCCAGCCCATTCTTTCCACTGGGCCAAAGGTTCTACATCTCTCCCCGCCAATTCCATATGGAGACTTCATTTAGTTATTTATTTACCCCAAACAGTACTGAGAACCCAGACCCTGCTCCAGGTACTAGGGTCATAGCAAAGAGCATAATGGGACATCTCCAATTATGGGGGGGGGTCCCACTGGGAGTGGCAGGGTGCGTGTTTTTCTGCCTAAATATGCTCAGAAACCACTCTTTCTCCTCAAGGAATCCTGTGGCGAATAGTACATCGGTGAACATGAAAAGTGCTGTCCACCAGGCTGGGCAGGGAGGGGCCACCACCACTGTGGGAAGTGATGCTCTTCTCCCTTGGCCACAAGAAAAGGCAGGGAATCAATCCCCTTGCATCAATCAAGATGTTTTTCTTGACTATTTGCTCTGCCTCCCCAAATTGAGTTCTGGGAGGCGGAACAAAGAAGAGGACTGAAATGCTCCATGTGCTCCATGTGCTTTGGGTCATGCCCTCTCCACAAACAAACAAAAGGGATCATTGATTCATGAGTTTCTTAAAGGGCCTGTGAAGCAGGAGGCAGCAGAGTCCAGGGAACGGCAAGGCTTCTAGGCCGCACAGATCTGGGCTCAGATGAACTGCCCAGCTCTGCCTGCTGTGCGTGGGCCCTTGGCCACAGGGAGGGCTGTGAAGTGGGGATGGAGATCAAAGCCCTCATATGACACGTGCAAAACACCTGCCAGGCACTGAGAAGGAAGCCCTCTGTAAAGGGTGCTGACTGCTGGGGGCCAGCAAACTTCGGGGACCTGCACCAGGAACTGGCCGTCACAAGGTGCTGGAGGATGAGAAGGCAGAGACAAAGTATCTTGCACCTCAGGGCCTCCTGCGTTTACATCGTGTCCCAAAATGAGACAGATCTTATTTTGTTTTAAATTTTATCTTACTGTTTTGCTTGTTTCCCTTACATCCATGGTAAAATGATCAGGTGTGGAGGGCTGGGTCCCTGGCCACGTGCACATGTGCCACCCGCAACCCCCATGCTCCATCCAAAGGCAGAATCCCGTGGTTGTTCCAGGGACTGACATCAGAGCAGAACCTGGAAGGAGATCTGGATGTGGGTGGGAGCCCAAGGACTGCTCACCTTCTGTGGCCCCACTCGGTCAGATCTGGGGAACAAGAGCCCAGGTTTGGGGAGAGACGAGCACAGACAACGGAAACAGAGAAAAGAACATGACCTGGGAGAAAAAGGGCCACTGAACTGAGGACCAGAGACATGGAGCCAAGAGCAGACCTCAAGGGCCCCTTGCCTCAAAGTTTCGGGCAGGTCTCTTCTTCCTGGAATGGAAGTGAGGGTACAGATGAGCACAGATGAGCCCCAGCCGCCAGCCCGCACGCTCCCGCTGCAGGATGCGATCAGAGCTCAAAGCGAACGGAGCTGGGCCTGGGATGGATGGGCCACAAGGACGGCTGGGGAAGAGGTGCCTTGGCCCCGTGGCTTTTTAATCTGGGATCTTGGTCATCTAGGACAGGGCCATGAAGAATGTTAACTTTCAGATCAGATGGAGGGACTGGGTCAGCCAGTTGGGTTTAAAAACAAAACAAACAAAACCACCTGTAAATACTATATTTGGGAGCTGGGAGGGTGGTAAATGTATGCACTTACCAGTAGTAAAATGTATGTATTACATGCACATCCATGACTGACACCTGAGAAAGGACCCTGCCGAGGGCTCCAACCCCACTAAGAGCGAGCTGGTCCTTCCACAGAGAACTTCAGTGGCTGTAAGTACCCTCAGCACTGCCTGGGGCACAGGGTGAACCGGACAGAGGGTCTCAATTTGAGGGAGAAAAGCAAAGCTACAGGGGAATCAGGTTTCAGAAAACTGCCTGCCCCTCATCGCTGCCCCTTCAGTGAACTAGTCCCCCATCTCTGCTTTTTCCATCCCACTCTGTGGAGTTTTATTGTTGGATGGTTTTTTTTTTTTTAATCTCTGCTTCTCCAGGGCTGGCATTTAAGATCCTTCAGAATCACAAAGATATTAAACATGAAAGTGGGTCAAATTTGGTATAAATTAACACATGATCATGAGGTTAACTTTTGTAACAAAAATGATTTTTAAAAAGAAGTTCAACCTCCTGTCACCATTTGCCTCTGGAATGATGGCAGATGTCTGTGTTAGAGTGCTCACTTCTGTATCATTTGAGCTTTTTTTTTTTTTTAAGAAAAACAATGAGCTTGGAGGGTTTTTTTTAATCCTCAGGGGGGAAAAATGAAGGCTTTCAGGTAGTATGTGAAAATTATGAATACACTCTTTAAATTATAATAATCTCACGGGCTGTATTCAATTGGTAACAACTTGGGAATTTCACAGAGTCTCTTCAAATTATAAGTAGAATGGTTACCCACTGTGCCCCCAAATAGACTCTCTTCGTGCCAACTTTTAAACTCCCATACCCTTATGACCACTGGTCCAGCCGCGCAGTTTTCTATACGTATAGTCCAACAAAAAGGTTAAAAATGGGAGGCCAGAGGAGAAGCAATAGGGTAATCTGAATCTAAGAGTAGAAAGCGCAACAAATTTCTGACCAGCAAAACCTTCTAAATAGTTTACAACTAGAGTCAGAAAGAGTCATCTTCTAAAAAGAAACAAGTTTAAAAAAAGTAGCAAATAGCATTCCCACCAATGCTAGGGAACGATGGAAATATTGTTGCATTAACACTTTCCAGATAAGAGTTCTTTTCAGTAGCTAAGGGACAATTACCCAAAGACTATTTTATAAAATCAAGTTGCTTTCTTCTCAGTTATTTTTAAGATGGGGCTCAAATTTCACTCCTTTGCTGCCCTATTTCAGGAATGTAGGAAACAAAAAAGAGGAACACAATTTGTCTTTTAATAGCAATAACTATACAACAAGAAACAGAACTGAAAGAATTTCTTGTTTAATGTGGTCTCTTAAAAATGACAAAATACTTTTCTCTGGTCTTCCTGTGGAAGCAAAGGGAATAAACATTTGTCCCTTCCACAACCAGCTTCTCTTTGCTTCTTTACAACTATGAATCTGTATTAGAATGTCTATTTCTGGCATCAGGGCACAAAATGCCACGCTGTTCCAAGGTCTGGGGCTTACAAGTTGGCAATAAGAGAGTCTATTTTGGGGCACAATAGGTAATCATTCTACTTATAATTTGAAGAGAAATTTAAAAATCTTTACATTGTCATTCTCATAGGTGGCCCTTGCCACCGTTATTTGGAGTGTTGGGCTCTGCTTGAGCAGGAAGTCAGCCTCAGGGGAAGCGATGGGGAATCTGAGATAAGGACAGGATGGGACTAGAGACTGGCCCTCATTTGCTGTTACTTCCCCTCTCCCTGACTATCCAGGCTCGGTCATGTGTCTGCCAGCCAGCTCCTAGAGGTCATGTTAAAAAGAATCATATTTAGGGAAAGAGGCCTGATTCTGGAGTTACCAAAGGCACTCACGAATATTTGCTGAATTAAATTCCACATTTGAATTTAGCCAGATAGAGACCCAGGACTTCAGTATTGTTTTGCAAATCAGCACTTTGCTTGAAAGCACTGCTCACGGACAGAAGCAGAGTCTATAGCCCAAGCTTGCAAACAAGGAACTGAGGTAGAAAAGCCATGAGGGTTTTGTGGATTCCTTCCAGAAATGGACTGGGGTTGGGGGGACACTGGAGGTATGACACAGAGATGCAGGAGCCACCATTCAAGAGGAGACACTGCCTGATAACCAGCCAGCTTTCTATTCTAGAAGGAGAGCTGTCACCAACAAAGAGAGACCCCTGGGCTATCTTAGCTCTGCCCTGAACTCAGAGCTCCGAGGAGTTTTCTCTACACTGTGTTCCCTGTGGCTGCTGCAAGGTAAGGAATGCTGTGTCCACCCAGACTAAACAAACCTCGGGCTGCCAGAGGGCAAATTTCTGCAAGTAGGTACACTAAGGCTGGGACACTGCCCGGCAGAGCACCTGGTCAGCAATGACAGCATCACCCTTCTTAGGCCAACTGTAAGTGTCTTTTATCCCTCAAATCCAAGAATTTTCTTCCATCCCAGCCAGAAGCAAGCTGTTGTTGAGCAACTTCAACAGGTCATATCTGAAGTCTATGACGGGGTGTGGTTAACACAAACATGGCGACAAAGTCACTGTGAGTTACAGCTGGGAGAGGCTAAAGACAGGATACACAGAGACCTTCCAAAAAAGTGTCTGTATCTTTTATTCTGGCCTGTTAACACCACACCAAGACTTGACTGCATTACTTACAGGTTTTAAATGTCTTCGTAGAAACCCAGCACGTGTGCAAGCTCAGTGAGATGGAACTCCAGCAATTTATAACCCAAATGAGACAGAACACCACTTTCTCAAAGGGCCAGATTGCACGTTAACTTCAACAGGTACAGGCTCCTAGAATAGGAGAGATGAAGACCTATGTGTACTGCCATGACTGATCTGCGCATGTGTTAAGATGACAGGGACTTCTATTTCAGCCACCCTTGAGTTTCTTCTCTGAGCTTAAAGCAATACAGGGATTTTTGAAAAAAGAGAGTATTTATTTGTATTGCCTCAGCCCCTTTTAATTCAGTGTTGTTCAAAACCTCCCTTCTTCCCACCCTGCAAACCAGTACTATTGGCTAAAGAATTTCTAACACTTGTCTGTGTATCACAAAGTGCTACATGGAGTGTGGTATTTCTGTAGAGGACCTGGAGTCACGGTGACTTTCCCAATTCACTCAGTTAAGCATTAACTAGAAGTTTTCTGCCTTTAGTGCTCCTGTAAAATCTCTGCAGCCGGCAACAATGTTCTTTCCAGTTCTGACGCTCTGATGAACACCAACCAGTTCAGGTACCGCAGAGAACTACTCTGTGGGGCTGTTATCCTTTTCGTTCGGAACAAATGAGTAACAAAATGGTATGGCCTGAGGATTTGGCAGAGTGAAAACTAATCAATGAAACAGCCAATGCCTCATCTCCAAGTCCTGGGGTCCGACACCCACTGGGCACACAGATATTTGTTGTTAGTGATCTGGAAAAGGCTCAAAGTCTTCCTGAAAATCTTCCCAGGGTGACAAACCACAGAAGCTACAGGTTCCCTCTATTCCTTGGGACATGCCTGACTGGGCAGAGGAGGGCAGAGTTGATGTAGGAGTCGGCATACTACCCAAAAACATAAGAAATTGATTTGTCTTAACCAAAAGGCACAGCTGAAGGAGTAAGACGCGGAGACGATTCAAAAGCCTCAGGCTTTCAGGAGTTCACAGGAGGACAAACAACTCGGCGAATAACTACAGTCTGTGCAACAAGTACCAAAGCCCAAAGCAGAGGCAGGGCCAGGCGAGGTGGCGGCAAACCGCTGAACTGTAAAAAGGACAGGCTCTTCACCTCCCGCGAGACCGGCGGCTAGTAAGAGGCAGGTTGCCCTCTGGTTCCAAATTTCCCCACGAACTCGTCCTGGGGCCTGGCACGGAGGCGCCCCGGGCAAAAGGGTGGGAAGCGGGCCCCTCCGCAGCCTGGGGCTTGGGGCCTCTGCCCCCTCACCCCGGGGAGATCGAGCTCTGAGGTGGCCCTGAAACCCCGCGGAGAGGTCTGGGCTCTGGCTGGCGTGGGCCGCGCCCTGGCCTCCCTTGAACTGACTGTCCGTCCCGCGCTCCGCCAAGTCCGCCTCGGGCCCCCTCGCCCCGGCGGGCGCCCCAAATGCGCTCCCACCCGGGACGGGAACTCCTCCCCTGCCCTCCATGATCCCCGTCCCCCTCCGGGCCCGGCGCCTCACTGCAGGTCCGAGCCCGAGGGAACTCACCTCGGGCGGGAGCCGGCGGCAGCGGACGGCGTTGTGGGGCTCAGCGCATCCTGGGGTCCCTGGGAGGCCAGGGAAGTGGGGCCGCGCGGAGCCCGCGACGAGTTATGTAACCGGTAGGGGCCGCAGCCGGGACGGAG